GCGCATGCGCGTGATGGCACCACGTGCGTGCGCGATGACGTCATTGCGCACGCGCAGCAGTATTCTGATACCTGGATTCTGTATTCTTAGAGAGGAGGGGACAGTCACCCGACGGGATAAGGTATGCCCCCGGGTCCCATCCTCTCTCCTGATACTGTCGGCGTTCGGTCCATGACCGAGCGCCCGACTTTTCAGAGGGGGGTGACACCAAAATGACTGTGGGTCATTTTGGTGTCACCCGGGTGCGGGCCGCACCCCCCTTGTGACGCCACTACCTGTAACATGTGAAATCTGGTGGCTCATTTCAGGAAAGACATTTGTAAAACTTTGGCGCTCTGTATTATCTATCGCACAGCTGTTCATTGCTTATCTGCTTTTAACGTATGCATGTTGAGACCAAGACAGTTTCGTGCAATCAGCATATTCATATGTGGACAAAGTTATGAACAAGCCATGATATAAAACAGCATAGTCAGTTTTATAATCCACTTATCAGTTTATCGTGAAAACAATGACATGACAAAGCAGAAATGAAATGTAGGCGTGACTTACAAAGCAAACTATATATAAAATGGGGAAATATCTGTTACTTAGAGCCATCTACTTCTTAAATCAAAAGCAGTAGCTACTCACATCTGACTTAATCCACCACCATGGTTCACTGGACTGCTGAAGAGAGGGCCGCCATCAACTCTGTGTGGCAGAAGGTCAATGTTGAACAGGATGGACATGAAGCACTTACCAGGTATAACAATTTCCTATGGTGTTACTAATACTTTTCCATACTCTTTTTCCATGTTACAAGTATCCTCTTCATCTGAATCATTCAGCAGTCTTTTAATGCTTTCTTATGTCCATGTTTTAGAATTGTAACAAGTTATTTACTTTAATCTAGAAAATAATGCTAATACAGTACTCGATTCAGATTTGGGTATAACCTAACTGTTTTCCTTTAGTTGCTGCACACATTTATATTTTTGGGATGTCTTGTTAAAGCCCAATTCCAGTGTCTTTTAGATTTGAAGAGAGTAAAAGGTTTTTTTTTACATTGCTGTCTGTGTTCCCACTGGAGAGATTTCTATCACTTTTGGTCTTATGAGAGGGGATTAGAAGGATAGAGTGGTAGGAAATCTCTCCAGTGAAGGCACAGACAGTAATTGAAACCAGGCAGAGATTCTAACATTTACCCACTCTATCTATAAGTAAAAACATTTCAGATTAAATAATTGAATTTAGTGGAGAGGGAGTATGACACCTGTCAGGTTTTTACTGCTGTCTGTGCCACTGTTAGGCAGATTCACTCTCTCTATACGTCCTGGTGACCATTACCGAATTTTGAGTTGCCACCAGAACAGTAACATAGGGGACATAGTTCTGGTGACAACAGTCTAAGAAGGGGATTTCCCTCATTATGGAGGAACTTCTTCTCAGTTCCTGTTGTAGCTATGGGACAGGTGGTGAAGGGCAATTATATGAATGGATCACAGCTGACAAACAAAAACTAAGAGGGGCTTTTCCTTCCAAAATACATAAAAAGGTTTTGGCTTTAGTTATACTTTAATGTGTGCAATGGATTTAACAAAAAATATATTTTCCCAGTATTTTACCAAAAACAATACATATCATTTATCAATCTTTACTGATTTTCTTTTTATGAAAACATGATAAACATGTTTCCTTTTCCTAAAATATAGATATTGTAATAGATGTTAGCTTTAAATCTGCACTACACCTTTCCACAGTGTTAAAACATAATGAGAGGAATTTATCAAAACAGGAGCAGACAACTGTGCATGGCAACCAATCAGCTTCTCTCTGTCATCTGTGAATCTTAACTGAACAAACTGAAGAGAGAAGCTGATTGGCTGCTCTGGGCATTTGCTCCAGCTTTTGTCTGCTCCAGTTTTGATAAATTCCCCTCAATGTATCTGTTATACTTATCCTTGCACCAATGCATACAAGTAATAGCATTTTGGTACAAGTTCACAAGTACATACCAGTCAGTAATATAGGTGCTGCATCACGTCTATAAGATTGTATTTATTCACTACAAATGTATATATCTGAAAATCTATATATTTTCCTTACGTTTCCTGATAGAATATATGATTAATCATATGTCTTTATTTTTTCTTAGGCTGTTTCTAGTTTACCCCTGGACCCAGAGGTATTTCAGCACCTTTGGAAATCTCTCCGGCCAATCTGCAATTGCTGGTAATGCCAAAGTGCACGAGCATGGCAAGAAGGTTCTGGGAGCTATTGGTGACACCATCCAGAACCACCTAGATGATGTGAAGAAATCTCTGCACAACCTCAGTGAGGTCCATGCTAACAAGCTGTATGTGGATCCCGAGAACTTTAGGGTATTAATCTTTATATTTTATCTTACATTGGGTTGATTGAGTAAAAGAAAGTGTTAATTCCAAAGTATATAAAAATTATGTAAATCCAAAACTTTTTTAATTATTTAGAAGAGAGTGAGGAATGATTAAAAGCCTTTTCATTGTTTATTTATTTTTTGCCTGTGTCTAATGTGTGAGATTTCCCCATGTTTTCCTGTCTCAGAGACAAAACAGGAAGTAAGAGGGAATCCTTACAAAGGGAGGAAAAATGTCCTCTCATTTTTTTTTTTTTTTACTGAAACAAGTGTCCCAAGTGGCAGATAACCTCTCACTCCCTGTTCTGGAGACTTTTCCTAGCACACACAGAAAAAAAACCTAACCTTCCCCACTTTATCCAAAAAGGAAAAATAAAGTTGTGGCTTGACATATACTTTAATCACCAATGACACGGAGAAATCTGGAGAAGTAAGCCACAGCAACCAATTCTTCTTTTGGCAGATTAAGGAGTAATGACTGCTGATCTCTTTTGGTTGTAGTGGTTGTAGTGCACTTGTACACTTTTAAACAATTTTTGCTTTGCTTTGGGTAACCCAAGTAACTACAAAAGCTGTTATATAATCCTATTGTTTCAAGTTGTTAAATAAAATGACAAAGTAATGAATTGCTTAAATACTAATCACTCATTTTTATTTTTTTATTTTTTAGCGGTTTGGAGAAGTGTTGATTGTTGTCCTGGCTTCCAAACTGGGAAAAGCTTTTAGTCCTCAAGTCCAGCAAGCATGGGAGAAGTTCTTCGCTGTCCTGGTTGATGGTCTTAGCCACGGCTACCGCCACTAACCAACAACATGTACGAAAAACAGCATTGGCTTCACTGAGGCTGTGTATCAATGTGTGTACCTATTCTAACACATGTAATAAAAAGTGCCTGGAAAAAGTACCTGCCTGTAATGTCATATTTATTTGTAAAAGCTAAATTAACAATGTGACCTGTGAATGAAAAGAGGGTTGTTCATTTCCTCTTTAGTAAAGTAAATTAATTTCAGAGGAAAAAAAATAAAAGTTCTAAAATGGATTTTCCCAAATGTTGCCCTTATAAACAGTCATCTAATCCTTTTTTTCTTTATAATTTTATTTATTTAGAAAAGAAAAAGGCAAATATACAGAATTTCCAAATAACTCAAACAACATATAATCAAAAGAGCAGTTATGCCAGGGTTCAATATGTTAACATCAAGAGGAGACTTAAATCTAAATATACCAAAAAATGTGTGTATTCTGAGCCACCAAATGAGAACAGGATACCACACCTTATATTTACATATACAACAACAATCCTCAAAAGGGGGCTTTTAAGGTGTCAGAATAGTGATTCAATTACATTATAAATACACAAATCACATGTATTAAAATTATTTATTGATAAATAGCATATATAAAAAAAACCTTAACATAGCACCACTAATGCTGAGATGTATATCAGCACAACTCCCTGAACACAAAATGTATTATTTGGCAAAAAACCTCCCTGGACCACATAATCATATTTTAAATAATTCAACAAAACTTTCAGTTATCAATCTCCTCATGGGCGTATGCTGATCATGCATTATAATTGCAATTAATATCCTTAAATCATGCATCGATGTGCAGTGAGTCCAGCCTTCTATGTGTTTCGCTGCACTATAACCAGGAAGAAAGGAGGCAGCCTTTTTCCAGGATTTTGGTAGTGAATAAGGCCACATAGTCAGGGGACGCCCCCAACTCTCACTCTCACTGAGATCTATTGCTAGCTTTACATATTATTTTTCCTATCCTCTGCATATAAGCATTGCTCTTTGTCTTGCTTTATTGCGAGTCTGTTGCTCACTACCCACAAGTTGCATACAGTAAAATGCTGTGTTATAGAACAGTACTTTCTGAACATTGTTTCATTGGTCCTGTCAGATCATGAAATACATTTCTAAAACCAAAATATTATCTGTAATACCAACCAATTGTTTATGTCCAATTGAAAGTGAAAATTAGTATTGAAGAGCCAAAAACCCCTCTGTTCGCTTTGAATTCGAACTATCGAACATGGAAAAAGTTTGAATTTGAACTTGAACTCAGTGCAAGTCTATGGGGGTAGAACTTTGAAAATCAATTGACCCCATTTTGAAGGTTTTTATGCAAGGTATTGGCCATAACAAGTGTATGTGGATTTGGGTACTGCCCTGTGGGACATGTATCAATGAAAAAAACACTTTTAAAAAATCCAATTTTTAAAGGAGCAGTGATTTTAACATCACCTAAAGTGAAACAATAAAAATGAAAAAATCCTTTAAATATCGTGCCTGGCGGGTCCCCTTAAACTGCCTGTAAAGTGTCACATCTGTATGATGTATAGAACCTGCTACAGCAAAAATTAAATTTTTAAAGAAAAAAATGACATTTGGGAAAAAAAAAAAAAAAGCGTGCTGTTCCCCCTCCCAAACAATACCAGACCCTTTAGGCCTGGTAGGAATGTTAGGAGGGACCCCATTTTTTTAAAAAAAGCATGGGGTTCCCCCCAAAAGTCACACTAGACCCTTAAGGTCTGGTAGGAATTTTAGGAGGGACCCTGTGTAAAAAAAAAAGTGTGTGGGGTTCACCCTTAACCCTTTCCCTGCCAAGGACGTACGGCATACTGAGGAACAAAAGTGTTGTTGGCCAAGGCCGTATGCTGTATGGACCTGGCATTTACAGTTCTGGTATAAGCACCATGAACTTATATCAGAATGTTCCCCTGACTGTTCCCTTCAAATTAATAGCTCACAAGCCTCTGATGACAAGCCTCTGAATACCACACACTGAGAACCCGGGCTCTGCTGGGTTCTCAGTGTGTAATGACAGATCGGCGCACCTGGTCACGGCTGGCTCCGGAGCCGCTGTCATCCTGTCAGTTTGCGGATGACAGCGGCTATGTGTGTGGCCGAACGGAGGATAGATAAATATCAGTGATATTTACCGGTCCTCCGTGTGCAGAGCAAACACCGGAGTGATCATCTGATCACTCCAGTGTTTATAAATAACTTGGGACACATAGGGGTCTATTCACGAAGCAGTCGAAGGATCTAGCCGTAGCTTCGGCCAATCCTTCGGCTCCAGGACCCCTTGGGTTCAGTAGAACCGAAGGGCTGCTGTACGGGCTATTCACAATAGCCCGTACAGCTCCCGAACTTGGCCGAGTGGCTCAGTGGAACCGAACGCATATGCCTCGGCTCGGCTGAGCCGTGCTGAAAGCCGAAGCTGGCCGAGCGGCCGACCATTGGCCGGCCGACAGCCTGCTTCTGACAGCTGGGCGGAGCCAGCTGTGATCTTACGGCTGGTTCCGGCCACTTACAGAGAGATCAGCATCCCTGGTTAGCAGCTAACCAGGGACACTGATCTCCAGACAGCCTAACTCTCCCGGGCGCTCTGGGAGTCTCCCGCTCCCGGCCGCCAAGGAGAGAAACAATTTTTTTTTTTTTTTATTATTCTGACACGGAGCCGTGTCAGAATAGAAAAAAGAAAAACATTTCACCATAGGAATGCATTGCTAGATTCCTATTGGCTATTTCAATTTGCAATAGCAAACTAGCTATTGTACCCGCCCTCTGCTGCAGTTCTCCATCAGGTCCACACTAGTGATTGAAAATGTTTTGTTGTTGTTTTTTTGACGGCAGCAGAACCGCCGGCCAATAGAAAACAGTTGTGCGGAACTTGCTGTCACTGCTAGCAACGCACAATCGTTTTCTATTTATTTTTTTCTACTTTTTAAACTATTTTTCTGTTCTGCTCGGTATCACAGAGGGACCGAGCAGAACAGCCGAGCCGAATGCCGCTCAGGGGCATTCGGCTATTCACTCACTTCTGTTCGGCATCTTTAAGAATAGACCAAACAGCAGCGAGTAGCCTGCCGGAGGTTCGGCTTAGCCGATCCACATAATACTAAAACATATTAATAAGTATATTACATTCAGTGAAGAATTTACAATACACACATGATTAAGTGCATCCTACATACACAATAAATCATATAATGTGCTCAAAAACAGTGCATCAATAGGTGTATAAAGTATCCACGTTGGCGCTGTCACCCAACGCAGTAAACAAATAATGTGTGCAAAAACCAAATATAACAGTGAACAATACTACTGTGAAACAAAATATTCAAATGCAATCTTCTTATCAACTGCTTGTGTAAGTCAAAGGTAATTAATTATCTTTGAGAAAAAAAAAAGTCTCAAAAGTGACTAGTAAAGTAGCAAACGCCCTGTGTCAGTGCATTAAACACATAATTGAAACAAAGGGGTCTATTCACTAAGCTGCCGTAGGCACTGTTCGGCTATTCACTTCAGGCATGTACGGCTGATTTCAGCCGTACATCAGCTTGCTTCACATGGCTACGGGTCGGCCGAACATGCTCAGCATGTTCGGCCTAACAGAAGTGCAGAAGGAGTTATAAAAAAGAAAAAAACAACTCTCCCGGGCGCTCTGGGAGCCTTCCACTCCCGGCAGCCCAGGAGAGAAACACTCCTTTTTCTTTTTTTTCTCTATTCTGACACGGAGCGATGTCGGAATAGAAAAAAAATAAATACATTTTGCCCATTGGAATGCATTGCTACATTCCTATTGGCTATTTCAATTTGCAATAGCCAATAGTAAACTAGCATTGTACCCGCCCTCTGCTGATGGACCTGGTGGAGAACCGACACTCATGGCCGGTGGCGTTGCGAGGGGGGCGGGGGGGCCGTCACCGCAGCTCCCGGTCAGCCCGCCCTCTTCAGACCCTGCTCTCTAATTGGCCGCCGCTCGCTCCTGAAGGGGGTCCTCTGAATCAGGCAGGCGCGGCCACCTAAACAGGCTCTGTAGAGGGCCGCCCGCGGGGGCCTCCAGAGGATCCACTTCAGGAGCGAGCGGCGGCCGATTAGAGAGCCGGGTCTGATGTGGGCAGGCTGACCGGGAGCTGGGTGACGGCCCCCCTCGCAACGCCATCAGGAAAGAAGAAGATCGGATTAGGAGACATCAGTTAAGGTAAGTGCTGACATTTACATTGGGGGAGGGGGAAAACATTGACTTTAATGTCACTTTAACCACTTCAGGGCAGCAGTACGTCTATTGACGGCGGCCCGCAGAAGTGGTTAAAACAAGAACACGGCTGCTTCGGCGCCCCCCGCCCGCAGCGGCCACTGGGTCGGTGGGTCTCCCCGCAATGATCAGAGAGAGATTCAGCAGCTTCCAGCCGCTGATCCCAAAAAAATCTTGCACCAGGGCCCTTTGTTCCTTAGGTCCGCCACTGATTCTGGTCATCCCGTTAGAATTATGGATTTCCCATCACTCTGTTTCCTAGTGACATTAGTCACCAGGACAAACAGAGAGGGTAAATCATCCTAGTGGGACAGCAATAAAAACCTGACAGGGATTTTAACAGTTACCCACTCTATCAAAAACTAGAAAATGGCTTTAGATACACTTTAGATACATTTTAATAGCAGCAGCAATAGCAGCAAATTATATGTTAACAGTAGAAGACGGAACGCACTAGTAGAAAACAAAATCACCACAGTCAACACACATTTTCTTTATTTTGGATAGAGTAGGAAAGGTAAAACACCAGTGAGGTTATTTTGGATCACTGTGTCATGTTGGGGAGATTTCCCTATACTTCCTGCCCTAGAGACAACACAGGCAATCTTTATTATGATCCGTCCAAGACAGGGACAACAGAGCAAGTGTCTCCATTGGAAGATTTACCCTCACCTTAATGACAACTCTAACATTTTGTATTCCCTCCCACTTTCTGTTTCGGAGGGTGAATTTACTTAGCAGGGACACAG